CCCCCACACACACACACACACACACAACAAAAGCTGAGAACCGACGACAAAGGCTGCATTCCATTCCAAATTACTTAAATGTAAATGTCAACATTTAGATTTAGAATTCCACATTTCAATTTAACATTTAGTAAAAATTAGCAAAATGCACGAATCGTGAGCTAAATAACACTAAAATGCTAGTGGAAACTTTTAAACTAGGGTGTTACATTTAGAGAGTGAGCTAAATAATGAAAATATATTAATGGAATTTTTAACATTTTATTTCACACTTGGCCCCATAGCTGTCATGCAAAAATGTTGAGGTTTAATATTAAAGCAACGTACACGTTCAGGCCATTAGCCTTCTTGCACAATTAAAAATAGGTGTTTATGAGCCTTAATATATTTATTTTTATTAAACTGGCACTTGTTTGGCTATTCATTAGCCTAGCCTGGAGGACCACTATTGCATTGTTTTATTTTTTTTTATTTTTTTTCCATACTTCAAAAATGACCAGACTATTCATTTGAATAAAATGGATTCAGGATCACAGTAATGGCTACGTATCTCACACTGCACAAAATGTCCATTGTAAAGCTAAAAGTTGTTGTTCAAACCACTGATCAGGAACTAGAATCACATCGTTTAAACTCATTTTGATGATCTGTTTTACTTACTCTCCAACGCTGTAGACAATTCCCATGACTGACTGAAAATGAAGGCGTTGAGTTTAATGACTAAAATAGAAGTGCTAGTTTTCAGGCGCAGAGCTGAAGCAACTTTTCCACTCAGTTTGTCATCTCTGCATTTTATAGGAGTCAATCAATTGGCGAGATAAGCTCCTTTGACCATTAACCCTCCACTTTTCAGCCGAACGCTCCACACCACTACCTGAAGAATGGAGTAGCTGAACAATCAAAGCTAAAGTTGGTTGATATTACAATTGAATGTTCTGGGTCCTTATTCTTAAGTTTCAATGCGATAATTAGTGTGTTAAAATAAGGTTCAGAGACAGAAAAAGGTAGGGTGATAGAAAGTTTGGTGTCTTGAAGGATGTTGCTTGATTATCATTTTGTTGTGCATTCAGTGTCAGTGGAAAATCAGCTTTGGGTCCCTTTTGCCTCTATTCACATGTTCACAGTGACTGTGCAATGATGGAGTACTCAATTTTAACAGTTCTGTGTAGGTATAAGTTTACTGATATTAATCTGTTAGAGATGAGGATAGTAATGGCTTCCTGTGTTCTCTGTTGCAGCAAAACTGAGTCAATCTATTTACATTTTGCTGCCATTGTAGGATGTCGTGAAGGGCAGGGGACTGTTGTTCCTAAACCAATTCAGAAAAGAAAATTAAAAAAAAATCAACATTTTGAGGAAATCTTAATATATCTGTCAATAAATAATAAATAATTTACCCGTTTATTCCTTTTAGGGTCACAGGGGTCACTGGTGCCCATATCCAGCATTCACAGTGTGGGGTACACCCTGGACAGGTCGCAAGTCCATCACAGGGCCACACATAGAGACAAATGAGACAAACAACCTTTCACTCTCTCACTCACACCTAGGGACAATTTAGAGTTACCAATTAATAAGTCACGGCTTTGGTGTGTGGGAGTAAGTCGCAGTGCCTGGAGAGAAAACCCACGCATGCACGGAGAGAACATGCAAACACGCAAGCGACCTTCTTGCTGAGAGGCTAAATAAAGCATGTACAATTTATTTATTTATTTTTTGTTTTTTTAAGGTAAATTTTGAGTTCTTAGGATTCTAAAATTTTTGTTTGTTAAATTGTGTGCACAGATACAGCCAGATGCTGCAAGTTTTAGACAATCCCTAAGTTATTTTCTGCCTTCTGGTGTCATGTGTCCTTCGGTTTTCCTGTCCACACTAAAAACAAAATTAAACACAACACTTCCTACAAAATGCCAAAGTTTTGCCAGTCCGTAGTAAACTGGCATTAAACTGACTGAACAGATTCATGAATCTCAAATTTTACTTTTACCACTTATATTTGCAATTATGTTATTTTTATTTGAATGCATTATTTAAAAAAAATAGAATGAGTTTTTTTGTCACCATTTTTGTTTCTATAAGCTATTGTAAGCAAGAGTTTTCCCAAGTTTACTCCAGTACATTAAACTCCATTGCTGCCAAAGCAGCTGAAACAAGGTGTGTTAAGTGACCTACAGTATATGGCAAGTGGATTTTTATTAAACATACAGAGTAAAATGAGGGGTAAAATGACCCAATTCTGCCACAACTTAAACATGATTTTTTTTTTTTTAGTACCAAGCCCTGAAATCAGGGTTTGGCCAAAACATTAATATTGATTGGAGTAAAAAAATATGATCAACAACAACTCTTTGTAAGTAAGTGTTTTTGAATATTAGGTGTTGTGGGGAACACAGGAAATAAAAAACAAACTGCTAAATAATCTGAAAACATTGTAATCAAATCTGTATGATTTGCTTCACATGTGGTCTTTTTGTTGAGATGTTTTATTCATTTATTCTTTGCTTATAAAATTTTTTCGAGCGTTTTTGTAATAATCAACCCCTCAAGGTTTAAGAGCCACAGTGTCATCAATGTTAAGACCAAAGTTAATTGGAGCGATGTGTGAAAGAATACTTGAGTTGTGTTGTGAAGAGTCAGTATCTTACCTGCAGTAGACAGGTAGTCCTAAGTGTTAAAATAAAGGCAACTTCATCCCTCGTCTCTAAAAGACATTTTAGCTTTCATCCAAAAGGTGTCTTCTGCTCTTTTTAATGGGGAGGAGTTTCAGGCTTTTCAAGTCATGGCTGGAACAATCGCACATATAGGTCGTTGTCACATGATTCACTGTCTGACCCATCTGTCATGTGAGTCATTTAAAAGATGTTTACCAACAAGGTCAGCAAATGAGCTGTCGCAGTCACATGCCTTGATGTGTGAACTTTTCTCTCCTGGGGGGAAAAAAGGTCGACGTGGAATGTGAAGCGACTCCACCTCGTTTTTTTCACATTCGTGTTTGCTGTTTAACCTGAACAGTTTTTACTAAACACTTCAGGCCTGAAAGAACTTGTAACTTTATCATTCATGAAAGGATCGAGGCCATGTGTGTGTGTGTGTGGGGTGGGGGGTGACGTCAGCTTACTGTTGTTATGGTAATGAGCCATCAAGTCCGGTTGCAACAGGTCCGTAACAAATGATTTGTTGTGTGCAACATGTTGCAACAAACTACTTGATAGACTTTCTGAGGTAAACGAAGCACAATTGAAGCAATGTATAAATATAAATGTCACTTGAACGGCTAAAAATCTTTTGAGATTTGACTTGCTTTAGATGTTGGGAAATTTCCCTGCTCTATTAGTTTGTTTCAAACCAAGATTGTTGTGATTGTCCAAACTGAGTTATTTGTGACAGGTTTCTATTGCATCTGAAATATTGAGTATTCCCACACTCAAAGCAAACTTAACTAGCTGTTTAATTTATTTTTTATTTTTTGGCATCATCCTTTGGAACTGCAGCGAAGACAATCAGGGGGTCAACAATCAAACTTGTTAAATTTGTACAAGTAAAAGTAGAGTGAAAATCAATTTAGGACTGTGTTTGCTGTATCTCACAAACAAGATCAATAACACAGAGAGGCACATATGCACACTTTGTCCGTCCATCCATTTTCTTCCTCTTATCCGGGGTCAGGTCACGGGGGCAGTAGGAGGGAGACCCAGACTTCCCTCTCCCCAGCCACTTGGTCCAGCTCATCTGGGGGAATCCCAAGGCGTTCCCAGTCCCTCCAGCGTGTCCTGGGTCTTCCTCTGTGGGACATGCCTGAAACACCTCATCAGGCAGGGAGGCGTCCAGGAGGCATCCTAACCAGACGTGTACACTTAACCTGCATTAAATAGTGCATGCATTTATAATTTTTAACACTGATTTGTGCAACCAGAAGAAAACCTGTATGATTTCATATATGCTCACCTTATACAGTCCTAAACATGAGCATGTGCACAAGAACTGAACAGTGTTTGATAACTCCATCTTTATTGTTTGACCTATTTATGGTAGAAACAAAAAGATTTTTTTTTTTTTTACTTTTTGTAATGAAAGGCTCATTGTGTAGCTAGGATGTAGAAATGTTCTTAGATTTGTTTATATGACAACAGAATACAGTAATAACAAAAATACAATCTATGCTTTTTTAATTCACAATTTAAGAAGTGATTCCAAAAGTTAGAAATTCAAAATATGTTAATATTTTTATTAAAATGACATGGGGTTTCTTTGTAACTGGGTCAGGTATGTGTTTTTACTGTGCAAAACATCATGCACGTCGGACACATTCATCATTTCCTTTACAGCTGGGTGTGGAGTTATTGTTGTTTAACCTTCCTTCCAGTTCCACCAAATCCTCTCTGTCGTAGCCAAACAGGTCCAGTTTACACGTGAACCATCTCTGGAAACGTTAGAGATTTTCTAATCTTGACTGTGGAAATGTTACACGTTTTCATGATAATGGTGTGATTTGCTGTTTACACATAGCAATAAAACCAGTGATGTTGCTGTATTTGTCTTGCCAGGTCACAATCAGGCACTGGGATTTTAGTGTTTCATTAACAGACACGTGCACACAGACACTTAGCTCTTATGTCGAGCATAAATTTGTCTTCTAGACCTCCTTCTTCACCCTACAGTTTCATCAACTGGATGTAGAATATGCAAAGTGCAACTTGGCTGACAATCATATAGTGCTAATTAACTGAAAATAATAAACACAACTCTGCTGTTCACAGTTTTTATGGTTATTAGAGATTTAGCACAGAAAAACTGTTGGCAGCTGTCTGTAATGTGCATGTGATTTTAAGAAAGTTGTGGTTTCCCATGAAACACTGGCTGGTGTTTTAAAAGGCTTTCACTCTTAGAGATGAATTTAAAAGGTTTCTGTGTCAAATAAAATGACTGCATGACGTGTACACAAACGGCCTACACATCATGCAGAAATCATTTATATAGAGTTTTTAGACTTAAAAAACTCCTGGCCCGAGCTCATAGACATTGTGTCCGAGTCTGATCGGACATGGTTATTTAATTTTAGAGGATCGAGCCCAAAGTAAAGCCACGATATAATTTTACTTACCATATTTGCGTGTTTATAATTCAATACTTGTTTTAAAAAGCACAAAAAATCTAATCCTTGTATATAATGCTGCCCCAACTTGAACAGATCATCAGACATACAGCAGGTAAAATAAGTATTGAACACGTCATCATTTTTCTCAGTAAATATATTACTAGAGGTGCTAATGACATGAAATTTTCACCAGATGTTGGTAACAACCCAAGTGATCCATACATACAAAGAAATCAAACCATAAATGTCCAGAAATGAAGTTATTTGTAATAATGTGGAATGGCACAGGGAAAAAGTATTGAACACACTTACTGAAATTTATCTAATACTTTGTACAAAAGCCTTTGTTGTCAATGACAGCTTCAAGACGCCTCCTGTATGGAGAAACTAGTGGCATGCATTGCTCAGGTGTGATTTTGGCCCATTCTTCCACAAACAGTCTTCAAATCTTGAAGGTTTCGTGGACCTCTTCTATGAACTCTGATCTTTAGTTCTTTCCATAGATTTTCTGTTGGATTCAGGTCAGGTGATTGGCTGGGCCATTCCAGCAGCTTTAGTTTCTTTCTCTGAAACCAATTGAGAGTTTCCTTGACTTTGTGTTTGGGCTCATTGTCTTGCTGAAATGTCCAGCCACGTTTCATCTTCATCATCCTGGTAGATGGAAGCAGATTTTTATCAAGAATGTCTCTGTACATTTTTCCATTCATCCTTTCTTCAATTATTTGAAGTTTGCCAGTACCATATGCTGAAAAACAGCCCCACACCATGATGTTCCCACCTCCAAACTTCACTGTTGGTATGGTGTTTTTGGGCTGATGTGCAGTGCCATTTGACCTCCAAACATGATGTGTATTCTGGCATCCAAACAGTTCAATGTTGGTCTCATCTGACCAGACTATATTCTCCCAGTATTACACAGGCTTGTTTAAATGTTGTGCAGCAAACTTTAAAGGAGCTTCAACATGCTGTTTCTTCAGCAGTGGAGTCTTGCGTGGTGAGCGTGCATACAGGCCATGGTGGTTCAGTGCATTACTTATTGTTTTCTTTGAAACAATCGTACCTGCTAATTCCAGGTCTTTCTGAAGCTCTCCACAAGTGGTCCTTGGCTCTTGGACAACTCTTCTGATAATTCTTTTCACTCCTCTGTCAGAAATCTTGTGAGGAGCACCTGGTCGTGGTCGGTTTATGGTGAAATAATGTTCTTTCCACTTCTGAATTATGGCCCCAACAGTGCTCACTGGAACCTTCAGAAGTTTAGACATTCTTCTGTAACCGATGCCATCATTATGCTTTGCAACAATAAGGTTGTGAAGGTCTTGAGAGAG